CCCGGATACCAAAATGGAAGGAGGCACCACTCACCCCACAACCCAAAAAGACAACCCCCCTGCCTTACAGGAAACGGCACACAAAAGAAAGAACAGACTGCAGCTTTTAAGGCACCCAAAGAAGATTGCAGACGCCCAACATCAAGAAATGGGTGAAACTAGGCTTAAAAAAGTGGAAACTCTAGGACATGCAACATGCGTGAAGAAATACACAGCAATCACACACCAGGAAAGAGCCAACAACACTTGACCAACTCGTAGATGCAGAATGCCCCCTGAACCCATGAAGCCACAACTGACCACATGCACAATGGACAGGAACCTCTTCCTGAAGACAAACACAAGCAAGCACTCCCCAGGTGTTTGGCACACAATGATACCTGGTCACAATGAACATTGTTAACCAAAAACTACAAAAAACTCAACTGTATTCGTTGCTCACTTTTTTGTTTGTTTGTTTTTTTGGTTTTTTTTTGTATTTTGTCTGTTTGTTTGCTTTGTTCTGTTAGAAATGTAATATAATTTACTGGTTGCCCTGACACGACAAATAAACAGCGTGGGGATTTGGTTAACCAGTTAACCAAATTCATTAGTAAACCAGTTAAATTTCATGAGTAAACCAGGTTTTTTTTTTAACCTGAAAAATTTGAACCCCTAACCCCCCCCCCCCCCCCCCCCCCCCCCCCTCTCGCTACAGGCCTGAGTCATACCTTTCAAGGGGAGACGAACAAAGCGAACGGGCGGGTTTTCAAGGCCGCGAAGGAGAAATAAGAAATGCAGGGAAGGGGAAACGGGCAAGCAACAAGAAAGACCAAACTAAACGGTGGAAAGGCATAAAAGGCATAAGAGGGAGCTTTTTACACACACCCCTCACGGGTTAAATAAAGGCTTCTTTATCTGCTACTTCTTTCTAACCCATGCAGATGAGATGCCCATTATACTGAGGGGTCAAGGCGGGACTGAATCTGCAGGAGAGCCTGATCTGCCTCTTCCTTTCATCGGGAAGAAGCGGCGCCCACCTCTTCGTAGTTTAAGCTCTCGGAGGGCGGATAGAAGAGACC